CGTAAATAATGGAAAAATGGAACTTCCTGAACCTTATAATTTTTATTATTATTATTATTATTATTATTATTATTTTTATTATTATTGTTACGTCTTTTGAGCTTTTCGAAATGCAGTCTACCTTCTTTGTACTTTTAATATTTGCAAGTATATATTTTTATTAAACAAACTGATATATATGTAGATAAAAATTCTGTTACAAAGATACAAAAAAGGTCGCATATTGGGACGCCCTGTGTATTATATATTTTTGACTTTGACTTCTCAATAACCACAGGGTGTCCCACGAAAAATGGCTGTTGGTGAATAGTTTTAAATGTCTTTCTCCACATACTATAAATTAGATATGAAAGACCTTCTGCAGTTTATTTCGTTAAAAAATCTTTCACTCAAATATATTTTATTTCAAAATCAATTATTCTCTAATAGTTTGACTGTCATACAGTGGTAAGCGATTATATCAATACAATGAAGACGACTTTTGATTTAGATTTATATTTTTATCAAGCTTTTAAGCAGCATGGATAACAGGATACACATAAACATAAAAGTCAAGAGAAACTGTCAATTTGAAAAGCTTCTCTTTGATCAATAGTAAACTTGTATTTCGAAAAAAGCTTTTGAACAGTTAAAATTTAAATAAAAAATTTGTCCCTATTGTATTGATATAATCGCTTATCAAACAAATTATGGAAGAAGACATTTTAAAGTTTTCACTAACTGTCATATGTCAAGGGAAATCCTGTATCTCTGAAACAATTAAACCAAGCCTACCAATTACCAATTTTAACATTGACATATAGACTATCCTCGATATTTCTGGATCATCAATCTAAAAAATATAATATAATTAAATATAATAATTAATTATAATAATTAATTAAATAAATTTAATTAATTAAATAATTAAATATAATTAAACATTCTACAGAGCTCAAAACTTATCTGTTGTTAATCCCGTGGGATCAAACAATTTTTCGTATTTTTTATTGAATTAATTCCTCAGTGCTCGGAAACCATTGCGTGCTGGCTGGGATGACTAAAATTGAAGGATCAAGCAAATTAATCTGAAACTTAAAAGTTGCCACGGTGGATTTTGAGATCATGCGTTGTTAACTAGCGCTATTGAATATAAAAGTTTTACCTCACATTATACGACGACTTTAAGACTCCAGTTATGACTTTAATATAGTCCAATATAAGCATGATCGGACCATGGGAGACAGCAATTGTGCAGTGTAAACAGACCCATTTCACTTAATTAGTGACCTATAAGTGTCTTTTAAAACTATTTGTTTTGTAACAACACAAAATAAACAAGTTTTTCTGTAAATTCGTCTTCCTATTTCAGAGTTTATGTAATATGCTAACACTTTTAGCAGAGTGTTTTGAAGGATTTGCTCGAATAGTTTAAAAGCCAACAAACCCATAAACTCTGTAGTTTTTAACTTAATTCAAAACAGAGGGTTTCTAAAAATATTTTCCATGAGAACTTCTTCAGGCTTGAAAGAATCAGTTAGATCAAAAATATCGTTTGAAAAACATAGTACGTGGCTAGTACAAAGAAGGGCCAGGAAATGTCGTTGTTTAGGTCCGTATATTGTGTACATAATAACATAACTAGAGATGGGCATCGTATTTGTGAACGAACGAAATTTTTGAAAATGACGGTGTCGTAGAAAAAACAAAGGATGGACGAACTACTTTTATCGTACAGAGAAATGAAAATAAACTTTTTTAAAAGGAACGAAAAAAACGATATAAATTGTTCGAACGTGCTTGAAAAAACAGTGGTTTTTACTGTCAAATGAACGATTTCTTGGAACAAACTTAAAAAAACGATTGTTTTTTTTTACAGAACAAGCGGTTTTTACCAACAACTTTTGAAAACACGATAGTTTGTTTACAGAACGACCGATTTTATTGAACGAACAGTATTACTGAACGATCGTTTACTGAGAAAACAAAATTGATGGAAAACGAACCATAATTTTGAGAACGAACGAAATGGGTAGTTCACGAACGATGAATTCCAACAAAATCTCTAAATATAACATAATAAAACTAGGACTGAGCACGCTCAAACATTTCTTATTCCGTTCGTTAACGGTTACAAAAATTAACAGAACAACAAACGTTCTCTTGAAGTAGCCAATTGTTCATAAATGGTAACTGAAATTTCAGTTCTTTCAAGGGGGGATCCGTTCATTAATGATATGATGCAACTAAAATAAATAATTTTATGATTTAAAAACCAAAACTGATAAAACTCAATTTAAAAAAATCTTTAGTAAGAAAAAGACATGGAATAATAATGTAAAGTATACATGTACTAATCTTTTTTAAACCATCTTAATTACTGTTCAATTTACCCCGTCAGGACATTTGGAGAAAAATGTACGCTAGATTCCGACATGTGTATTTAGCTTAATCAACTACACTGAACATTGTTATTAGGTACAGTACGTGGAAAAGGGATATGAAAATAAACCAAAATTTAGTTGGGGGGGGGGGGGTGATTTTATTCATGGTCTATTTGAGTTATAAAAAGATAGTAACTTTTCTTCACCTTAATCATACATGATAAAATGGTAAATGAAGGCAAACTCTACATACATATACAGTGCTCCTCAAAATAAAATGATAAGCATTGGCGACTTTTCAAAATATACAGTGCTCCCCTAAATAAAATAATAAGCATTGAAAACTTCTCTTTAATATACAGTGCTTCACAAAATGAAACGGTAAGCATTGAAGTCCTTTCAAAAAATTCAGTGCTCCCCAAAATCATATGGAAAATGAAGACGACTTCTCATAAATATACGGTGCTTCTCAAAAATAATATGGAAAGCATAGACGATTTCTCTTACAAATTCATTGCTCTCTATATCATTTTGAGGAGCACTGTATATTTAC